GAAATCACGAAGGCTCGGCGGTGATGGTGGCGGGTTCGAGGCGGCGAAGACTTGAGTGGTGCCGGCGTCAACGATTTCGATGGCAGAAGAGATAAGTTCCTTCCTTCAATCTCTAGAGTTTCAAAACTTAGGTTTTTTTCTTGTGGTGACTACCGATCTTTTTCGTCTCAAACCTCTCCCTTTTATAGGCTTCAAGGGAGATTTTCTGATTAAACTCTGATTAAAATGTCTTGAATGTTTGATTTGGACCTTCCGTTTTGGTGTTAAACAAGATTTGAAAAACTTCCTTTTTCATATGATTTCGTTTAATGCCTATTGACGGAAATCCTTTTCTGTGTGATTTGTGTCAATTACGTTTAATGCTCTGATTGTCTAGATTCATTGCTCTGAGATAAACGAAAATCTGCTAGTTGTCTTGAATTAAATCTTTTTTCTTTAACCGGTATATTCCTCAACGAATTACTAACTTGGATTTGGCAACTTGACAGGTGTGATAGTGAAGGATTTGGGCCAGGGGAGATGAACAGCCCATAGTGAATTCAGATAGCTAGTGTAAATGGATTTGGTGGGTCCAAAATTCAATCGTTGGTAACAGCCCTGAGTATGCAAATTTCTTCACGTGGATCAAAGCTTGCTAACTCTTTTCTTTGGTGCTCATATATCTTCATTTGGCCCTCTAGATTGGAAGGCAACTGAGGTTAATTGAAATTTTTGTTGTGCTTGTGAATCCTGGTGAGAAACCTCTGGAGGAGATAACTGTTTTACACTGCCGGCATTGTTGAAGTGCGCTGAATTGTTACATGGACCTGGTAACTTCGTGGTCTAAAAGTTGTTTGGACTTATTTGTTTTTTTTAATGGTGCTGAGTAAGTCTGACTTCTTGTTTTAACTTTGCAGAGGATGAATTAAATTAAAATATAAAAAAAAAGATTTTTAATTTAGATTTAATTTAAGTTTTTCTTACAATAAATAAACTCATAAAACACTTTCTCCCATTTTAAAATAAATAAAAAAGAACTTTCCCTTTATCATTATATTGAACTTAATTTATAAATAACTTTGTTAATTTCTATCTTAACTCAAATTTCTCAAAAAATTTAAAAACAATTCTAGATTTAATTTTAGTTTAATTGTCCTTAATTTATCTAATAAATAATAAAAATACACAAATATTTAATTTAACTTTAACCTCTTTTAGAACATAGATTCAGTTTTTTAAAACTATAAAATAAGAGGTTTGATTTGTTAATTTAATTGATTTTGCTCTTTTTCATAAATAAAAACCATAAAAATAATGTATATCAAATCAAGAAGTTTTTTTTCAATTTCTAGAACTATTAGGATTTAATTAATCTTCTCACTAATTCAACTTAAAAAAAAAAAAAAGATAATACTTGTTGGTGATTCAAGATGAATTTTTAACTTAGTTTCTAGTTCTTAATAAAATTCATAAATCATAAAATTAGTTAATTCTAACACTATTGTCACACTTTTCACTTAATCATAATTCGTAAAAATAATTAATTATAACTTCTAACTTCTAAGTCAATTAAATCAAAACGATTCATCCATATCTCATCGCTTGTACGTCAACTCATATTTTCAATTATTCATCCGCCTTATTTTACCGTTAATCCCCTCCAAAGGAAAGGTTACACGATTTGACCGCCGAGTCAATGTCTCACCTTCACCCCATCCCAACCTTAAAATCCGAGTCGCCGTACTCATGTTTAGGCGTCCCGCCGTGGACATCCAACCTTTCATCCTAACCTTAGGATTAGGAGTCGCCGCACTCCATATAAGTTTCCCACCGTGGAATACTTATCTCATACCATTTTAATTCAAACTTTATAACATAGAAATCGGAGTCGCCGCACTCTAAAGTGAACCCCCGGAACCTTGACCACAGTCAAGAAGTTCCTCATCTCCCTCTGTGAGGGGAACTACGATTACTCTGATTCCATCCTATAACCAGGATAAGTAGGCACAAGATGCGAGTCTTGGCGAGTAAACTTAGGACTAACCCCTTAGGTCCTTTCTCTTTACCTTTAACCCTTAGTGTTACCCTTAAGCAGATAACTATAGCAATAGCATATTAAAACAAGAGGTTCCTGTAGAGTGCTACAGAAGTTTAGGATGCTAATACCTTCCCTAAGCTTAACCAACCCCCGAACCTTAGATCTTTCCCCGCATTGTGTTTACGATACAAAATAGGTTTTCCCCTTTCTTTAACCTTTCCTTCGGATAAATCAAAGACCGGTTGTAAATGAATTAAGATTCAAGTTAATCAATAGCTTGACATCCAAATTTCACTGCAACACTATCACGCATGCTTCTCCTCGTGTTCCTCCATCTTCTTCTTCCCGTAGGATACGGGTTTCACCTATCGACATATCACTCTCTCCATCCTCCTGCAGGTGCTAGGTTTCACCTATTTGGGCACTAATGGTACTCAAGTCACTAGTGTCATCTCTTATTATTGATGTTGTTGAGCCAGTGTCACCTCATACTGGGCCAGTGGTACCTCCTAATGTTGATGATGTTACTGAGTCAGTGCCACCTTTGAATGATGAGGCTGCTGAGAATGCTGAGCCAGAGGCATTTGAAGGAGGCCTTGTAGATTTGTCATTATTGCTTGTGTACCCATACCATATTTCCAAACACATTTGGGACGGAGAGGTAGAATTTTTTGGATTCATTTTTTAAAAAAATTTACGTTTATTAATAGATTACAAGTTTCTTACATTGATTTTTGTTTTCTGTAGAACCGTGATCCGCTGAAGTTTATTAACCACGTGTGGAAGGCTACTGGTTTGCCTCACCCGAATGAAGAGTGGTTTTAGACAACTTTGTCCCTATCTGGGATGAACTTGTGCATAACCGATTATATTACGATCAACCACGAGATGCTTAATGCATTCGTGGAGAGATGGAACTCGGAGACCTCGTCATTTCATTTCCCGCATGGTGAGATGTCTATCACTATCAACAATGTGTCATGTTTGCTACATCTTCATATCAAGGGGAAACTTCTAGATCATTTGAGGATTACCAAAGACGAGACACTCGAGATGATGGTAGACTATCTGGGAGTTGACCCAGCGGGTATGATGGAGGAGTTGGATAGAACCAAGGGTGCTCATGCTAGGTTTGAATTCATTAAAAGGTGTACACAAATCAGATTGTTAGAGCACAACAGACTACATGGGATGATAGGCAGGTGAGGCTCCATAGAGTATATGCTATGAGATCTTATCTGCTATATTTGGTTGACACTGCGATTTTTTTACAAGAGTGTCACTTATACAAATGTCGTCTATCTACGGTACTTCAAGGACTTCGAGCATATCCATGAGTATAACTGGGGGGCGCTTGTTTGGTTTACCTGTTCTCAACGCTATCAGAGGGCTGTAGGTGGAAAACGAAGTAGGTCACCGACAACATCACACTACTGACAATAATATTTATTGGTCTTTTAATCTTTTCGTGTCATTTTCATTTCATCGTTGCAACGCCATTACTGATGAATTGTGTGTTCCAAACTTTTCAGGCTTGGATCCTCCAGTACTTCCCGCACATCTCCGGTTGGACGAGTGTACCGACTTACACTAAGGATATGTCGCATGCTACTGCATTTGCCTTTCTCAAAGGGAACCAGGCGATAGAGTCGTTTATCGTGTATCTGAACCGCTTGGTTGTCGAGGACATGCACTTCAACAGTTATGTGGATCATCGTGAGACGCGACCATTTGACGAGGTAGTGTTATACTTGGGATGGTTGACTTGTGAATCACGTCTCATTGCTTCTCATCTGTCGGAGCGCGTGATGTGGAAATTTAGCTACACTCAGATCGTTCCCAGACACCATGTTGTCTCTGCTCCTCCTACTTTAACACGTTGGCAAATGGATGTCATTTTTGATGATTATGAGAGTCATATGGTACCAGAGGAGGCACGGAGTACCATAGCTGAGAGTGATTGGAGCTACGTCGACGGATATATTAGGTGGTTCTTCAAGGTGTCACATCCGTATATGGTGCATGCTGCTCCAAGAGATCCACCAAGGTCAGCTCATTAAGAGATACTAGAGGAAGAGCATACACAATTAGACCATGCTGAAGATTGACAGAGGTATCTTCCCTGATGGGTCTGATGTGAGGCAAATCCTAGATGCCATCTTGACGGATGCACAATGGACATTGATGTACCGAAAACAACAATGGAGGGCGGGAGGATTGATGGCCGAGGAGACAGATGAGATGGAGTCCGACATACCTAGTAGTGCAGTAGTATATAGTAATTGTACTTTTAATTCATTATGGGTTGTATTTTATTTTCACCTCATGTTACTTTATTGTTATTTTTGACATTATTTATATGACGTTTTTGAAACATTTGAATTTATATACGTCAAGTTTTACATACCAATTGTATGGTTTAAATCTCGCCACATAACATTGTACATAACGCATATAAATCTTCATACGAATACACAAACAAAACATGACATATACTATTCTATTATGATATGTTACAGAGATACATCTCTGTAAAATAAACAAAGATGCATCTCCGTTACAAAAAACTTTAAAATGACTTATGAGTGTGATGCATAGTATATGTTTTAAATTGTTATGAAGATGCATCTCTGATTTATTTAATATTTAAAAGTGTGTTCGAAAATACATCTCTAAAATCCGAAGACATTTAAGAATTTTTACGTGATGCCTGGGTATATTATAAAATCAAATGGAGTGGTGTGAGTGTCCTTCTCTGCTTAGTAAAAGAATAGAAAAGGCATTATTACAATGGCACCTCGAATAATGCTTTAAGTCATGATCAATTATCTCATAGAGCTCATTATTACATACATTTTACAAACTGTAGCATACATATAATTCAAACCCCCACCGGCCCCTAAAAATTTCAATTCAAAATACCAAATTTTGAAGACAACCTAGAATAAAATAAGGTTAAAAGGGAGATTCTTCTATTAAGAAATCAATCACTAAAATCAAAGCTTCCACTCTGAGAGCTGCTGCCATTGCGACTATGTAAAGAGGGGCCTCTGATGTGGCCAGCCAAAGTGCCACTGTCCTTATTATGCTGAAAATATCGTTCTCTCTCGGTGTGCTTTGAAGGTGGTGGTGGTATTGTAACGGCAGGAAGCTTTGCACTTGGAGGTGGAACTACAACAGGTACAGGACAAGCATGAGCTGCCTGAGATGGTTCTAGTGGTCGTATTAGTGGACGGTTGAGTCTCTCTTCAAGCAAACTCAATTGAGGGAACTGAGGTTCAGTTTCTTCATCTTCAGGCTTTACACAAGCTTTTCCTTTGCGTAATCTGCCAGCATCAGGCATTGTTTGTCATTTAGTGATGAATGAATACTCAAATACCAAGTTTAATACTTTAAAAGGAAATAAATTTAGCATGTTCAATAACTAGCAAGTCACCTTCTGAATAACTGTTCGGGTTCTTCTTCCTCCTCTTCTTCTTCGAAGTGATTCACGGTTGTCGTAACCTTGCTAGAAAGAAGGTCATCATGTTTATCTAGAGCTTTTTGAAGCTGCTCATTCACTTCGATTGCTCGGGAAACTATCCTATCATCTCTACAAACAATCCAAGAAAAAGAAGTTGAAGCATAAACTGACCATAGAATAAATGCATGCATGCACACACAAATGCACTAACAATAGTGTAACGATTTTCCATTATATTACTTATTATTATTTATTAATTGAAAATGGAGATAACAAATTTATTCAAGATTCAGCCTATTACTTACATCTTAGAAAATAGCAAATGTCATGGAAAAAACAAATGTATTTTTGGGACAATAGCAAAACTCTATTGCACGAGTTATTAATGAACAGAGGAATGGCATTAACATCTTATGCGCCAGAAGCAAAGACAATAAAATCCATCCACTGAAAGATTTCAAGTCTGGAAATGAAAGAAAATGTATTTTCTTTTGGTAGTAACGAGAAATGTAAAGGAGCCTTACCGAGAAGTCATCACAAGATGCATTACCCTCTGCTTTTGAAATGAACACTGCTCAACAAGGTCAAGGGTGAATTCATCTCTTGCTCCCTAGAAAATAAATCAGTTTCAGCAAAAACTGGAACAGGACTATTTACATGTTTAGTAAGAAAACCACAGTGCTTTTGGTTCTCAAGACAATAAAAATTATTAAGAGATCCCTGGCTCACCTGAGGATGCTTGGCATCAATGGCATCAAGGACTTCTTTTAGAACTTCCAATGCATTACTAGCCTTTTGGATGATGCTGCATAACACAATTGCAGAATAAGTTAGGAGGTCCACAGATCAAGAAGACAGATTTAAAACAAACACACATACACTCCCTGGAACAGAGAAAAAGTATCAAACCGAAGACAGATTTTCAAACTATTCTCCATTTATTTCATTAGATAAAAACTATGGTATTTGGATAAATCTCAGTATCCAGTTTCCATCTCCAAAATAAATAAATAATGATTCATATCATAATTATTCCCTTTTCAAGGCATTCAGTTAAAGGATGGACACTGAAGATCATTTTTATAAAACAAAATGTAACAATGGGGTTACTAATTGAAGGAAATTGTTATCTCCACTGAGATTTTTGAAAGACCCAGTCTACACCATGTTTTACCTAGATTCAGGAACAGTGTTGGGTTCTGCTTTTTGAGGAACACCTCCGTCTCTAAATGGGACCTGCTCCCTTTTGGGTACATTATTAGTCCTATGTGGTTCTGAACTAGGACAATTTGATTTAACATGTTGAGCTCTTTGAGGAAATTGCACCCCGGCACTCTGTAAAAATTAAAACACAATTTAGCGTTAGCATTGAGCAGATAAATAACAAATTAGTATTGATTAATTAGAAAATTTTCATAGTTCTATATCATATAGAAAAGAGTTGAGGGTTTAGGGTTTAGAGTTGTTTTGCGTAGATAAATAACAAATTAGCATTCATTAATTAGAAAAATTCCATAGTTCTATATCATATACAAAGGGAATTAGAAACGCCATGGCCGTCTACAATTCAGGTATAAAATGTGTTGGAAATATATGTTCATCTTCATAAGCAAATTGAAAGATTCTCATTGTCTGATTCCCATGATATTTGTAGACCACCCAAGAGCTTTAATACAAAAATACAACCATTTTCTGCCAACATAACTATCCAAGGATCATTTATTACCACTTTACTCTTAGTATAATCTTCCCACAATATTATCACAGATACCATTACCCAAATTCAGCATATCTGCTTAGCACTTAGCACCAGCTATATCCTATTAGAATGTGAAGCAAAAAACAACTTATGTTATATTGACTTCTTCTATTTATGAGTCCTCTAGTAAAAAAGAACCTTATATACCAAACAACGTATATTGGAACCAAAGGCAGATCTCCGGGTTGTACTTTACATATATGCACCTACCACCAAATCATAATATGCTTTATAATACTGCGGAAACTTTCCAGAAGCACCGCCAAGGGATGTTTGAGTTGCATCTAGTAGGAGAAATATTCGCTCTCTGACAGGCAAATCTGACTGCAAGCAAAGAAAAAAAAAACCAAAGTGAGCAAGGAAAAGTCAATATTGAGAACAGACAATATCACAATAGTTTCTAGAAAAAATCACCTTTTTCTTTACAATCTTCACAAGAATAGGAATAATTTCGGCAACAACCACCTGTTCATGAATATGATTTCCTATGTTGTTCATCAACATTTCCAGCAACTAGAAAATCAACAGATATAACATTAGTTAGTTGAACACCAGTGCAGGAAACACAAACAAGGTGAAAATTCAAGAAAATAAAGTCGTATACCCAATCTTCTCTGTTTCGGGTACGATGAAAAATATGTGTAGCAAACTGTCTTCTTATAAGTTGTGGGTCCAGGTAAAATGGTTTGGAAAAGTCATAAAAAATTTTAAATAGACTATTTCATAATAAGATCATTACACTCACCATGACAGCATAAAGTTGAGTGTTGGGGTTCTTGTTACCCAATCTCTTTTTTATAGCTTTAACAACATCTTTAGCTTTCCTGAACATTCATAAAACAAAATGATGGTATTAACAGCAACACCACTCCGAGCCTTGGAATATTATAGCATATTATTATTGAGTTCATAGTCAAGTGAAAGACCAGGTAGGCTACGCTCAAGCATCAATCTAGACAGTGTTCAACAAAGTACCATGAATAACAGATTTTGAATCGCAAATTAAGTTAGCATCAAGTATCAGTAGTTTGATAACTAAACAAACACTTATAATTTAAATTTTCATTCTGAAAAACAAACCAGTGACAAACACACATGACACAGTTTAAATGAAAAAGAAATACATAATTTGGCATGACAAATATGGTATAAATACAGGTAATTGGATTAAGAAGGAAAAAAATGTCATTTATGAAGATTATCTTTCAATATTAAAGAACCCACTTAGCCGATTATGCATAGTTCAAGTGGTAAGGTCATTAGTAGTGGGGTTATGTGAAGAACATAGGTATGACTCCTAATCCAAAAAATAAGATAATACAACATAAAGTGCCATAACAAAAAGCCTAAAAGATATGAATTAAAAATGAAGAAAAAATTGAGTTTAGTTTCATCATGTTTTACTTTTGGGGCATTGATCAATGATCAATTAGAAAGAAACAGCACTATATGTATGGAGATGGAGAGATAGAGGGAAAGGACTCTATGGAGTACCTTTGATCACGAGCAACTAATTCAGAGATTTCAATATTTTTCGTCCAATCAATTTCTTTAAGTTTCTCATTTGTTGCAGCATTGACTAGCTCAGCTGCCATCTTTATTTCTACATAAACATTTGAGAATTAAACTGAATATAAATATTTAAATATACTTCAAACAAGAAAGCATATGTTAAACAAGGAGTTAAATATCAACTAAAATTAAATTAGGCGGCTAGTCAAATTTGATCACTAGAAGCATAGTTGGAACAGCTACATAAAAATAAAGGTTTGGATTTAGAAAATTAGCAAACAAAAACTTTTCATTTGTTAATACACTCTTAAAAGTGCAGCTAGCTAATATACTACAGCAACCAAAGCTTTTATTTCACTAGGTGAAGTCAGCTACATGGATCAAATGATGGAAACTGCTAATGTACTCTCACTTGTTCATTTTTCAGAAGCCCCATATGTACTTGTGAGTTAAGAGAAAGAGTTAAACCTTAAGCCATAATTCAGCTAATTGAATACAAAATTGAAAAAAGAGAAAAAAAAAAAACAGTTTTGCCTCTGAATACCATAGAACATAAACTGACTTTGAATATATGAAAACCTGGGTTTAATATTGCAATAGACTATTAAGTGCAAACCATTATAAACAGAAAGTTAAAGGTAATTAATCCACAACAATAACTAAGCCTTATGCTCGAAGTGGGATCGGCACAATAACACTCTATCATATACCATGTATTGTCAATGGCACGCTATAGCGGAATAGTGTATCGGGGATAGGATTCATTGTGGTGCTATTGGTCCACGAGCCATTGTCAGCAATAGTGGCCGCTAAGTATGGTCCCAAACCGCTATCTCAGCCGCCATTAAAATTTTGGGAATAAACTCCTCAAATTCTCTTTTTAAAGGATAAAAATTTCAATCAGGATCCTTTGAAGAATACTGTTATATTCTTGCACACAAATAATTGTTATGTTCTTTTTCCTACTTTGAGTTTTAGTTCAGTTCTGTTTTATTCTGTTTAAGTTCTATTAAACTATACTTTAGGTTCTTTAGCTATTTAAGTATGATGATTTTTTAATTTGGAATATTAGTCTATTTTTGAGAATTTATGTTTACTTTGTACACGGGTTTTTAGCCTTTGCAATAGTGGTTATCCAGCTATACCGCTATAGCATAGTATCATAGTAGGGGTTGTTGTTAGTTGTTACGCAACATTATTTGAGATTAACAACATAGCTCTATCCAACTCATTAATCTCCAAATATTTTTAAATAACTTCTATAATTTTTCAAAAATTTTCTCTACCTCTACAAATAGCGGCACCATGGCCACTATGGCGGATATACATGGTGGTTTTTGAACTTGCCGCAATGTAAATATCGGCTGCAGGTTTTTCCGCCATAATCCACTATAACAATGCCGCAAAGCGAGATTTTGGCTATATGGACCGCCATCTGCCAACGACAGCACTAGCATCTACTAATTTGACTGCTATTCATGAAACTTATTCTCTTTCCTATAGCATCTACTAATTTGACTGCTATTCATGAAACTTATTCTCGTTACTGTAGAATCTACGACCATTTTTCTCTGCCCAAGCCCCAAACCAACTAAACTGAATTTCCTCTATCTTGTAAACCATAGGTGTGCTGGCCTAAATCTGTCTCTAATTAACCCACAACATAAAAAAAAAATTGAGATCACAAGAATCATAATTTGTCCAATTATAATCATCTTCAACCATATGAATATAAAAATGACTATAATCATCTATCAATTACCTCTTATTACTATAGCAGAAACCTAAGTCTGAACTGCAAGCAAGTCACGACCGACCTGCAAAAACAAAAACCAGAGGATCTAATTCAGCACTAAACTAAACTCAATTTCAATCTCACCTCAAAGTAATGAAACCATTGAAAATAAGCAAAACTTGAAATCACAAACCATAAAATCGAAAGTTGCAGTGTTTATTATGATTCATGAACAAGATAGTAGCAGTGAAAATTTTACATAGCGATATCCGTACCTTGAAAAACGGATATGAAGATGGAGATTACGAGGACGAAGGCGAGGATGCACTGATAAACCCTAAACACATTCAACATTTCCCAGAGTGGCACCCAAAATGAATTATCAAGCCGCTTTTTCTTTTAATTAGTTAATAGCTTTTTTGCAAAATAAATTAGGAATGTTTGATTTGGATTACTTATTTTTTATGAATTGATTTGGATGTTGGTTTGTAGTAATAAGAGGTTATTGTAGAAGAATGAATCTAATATAAGACATGTTGTTATCAGTGACCCCACTGATCCCGAGCTAAAGCTTCATTACCAAGGAGAAGGTGCAATTTGTTAACATCACCTATCACTCGTTTTGTTGACTCATTCTTTATCCTTTTGCCTCGTCACACGCTATCATTCAATACTCTTTCCGGTCTTCTGATTACGGGATTAAGTTTACGTTGGTAACTAGCATGATACTCTTGCGAACGCACGGGAGCGGCTTTGTCGTTTTTTTAAATAATAGATCGATATTAATATAAGATTAAATTATGTTTTATGCATTATTTTTTTTAAAAAAATTTAATATCAGGCCGACCGACTAATTTCTGAGGATCAATTACATTATCTACTAGGAAGAATTCTCTTTAAAGCGGAACATTGCTCTGTATGGACTGATCCAACCGAAAAATTTTATATTATGCATAAATTATTGACAGAAAGAGGCGCTGTCGCTTTTTATTTTTTAATAATATTTTGATATTAGTTGAATATGATATTATCTTGAGCTTAAATGTGTCAATATTTTTACAGCATTTTTCGAAAAATCGAGTAAAAAACCATGTGTTGTACATAGAGCTGTCAAAATGGCTTAGCTTATATGGACTGGCCCGTTAGACTCGAAAAATTATAGAATTTGTGAATTAAAATTAGAGTCCATATTTTTCAGGGTTTTTTAGCCTAATCTTAAAAAACCTGCTATCCATTACGGTTAGCTCATATGGGACGTGGGTAGCCCATTAGGCCCACATTGTTATAAATTTAAAAAAAATATATATTAATACTTATATTGTCTTACTCTAAAATAACATATTGATTTTTCTCACCTCATTAAATTTTATCTTTATTCTATTCATTTTTTCTCTTTTAAAATATTATACATAAATATAATCAACAATTCTTTCTCGTATTTTATTAGTTTCTCTTATGTTAAATATTCGAGTATTATTTTATACAATTTAGACGTGTATTGTATTTAAAAACACGTTATAGTATTTATAAAAGATAATATAATACTTAAAAATGTATTACGTTTAAAATAATATAATTTTAATTTTATTTATAATAAATATTATGACATTTTATTTTTTAAAAAACACGTTTAGAGTTGGGTTGCCCGAAACCCATCTAGGGTCAGACTTAGATAGTAATTTTCGAGTCCATATTAGAAATGGACTTTTTTGCCCCGGCCCTAAAAAGTACGAGTCCTCTAGGGCCGACTCGTTTAGGGCGGAGTAGCCCATTTTGACAGCTTAAGTTGTATGTATTATTAACATGTTTTTCAAAACATTCCATAAAAATGCATACTTTGTACCGTATTTTATGAAAAAACCGATAAAAAGGCACATATTTAACTGAATTTTTGAAAAAATCGATAAAAATGCATACATGTTATTGATTATTTCAAAAAATGTGGAAATAAGTATGAATGTTTACCGATTTTTTCAAAAAAAATCCAATAATATGCTGATTTTTTTTTGGATTTTTTGAAAAATCCGTTAGGTTAACTATTTTTTATTTTTTTTAAGTGAGGAATAGATGACATGATTGCTTCTCGACAGTTTGATAGAGTTGAAGTTTCTGCAGCTATGACTCGAGCGAGGTGAGGTAACATAGATGACTCGCTTCTCCGTGCGGGGAGAATAGCCCTAACCGGTTCTCACAGAAGGCGGTTAGCGAATGATCAGTTTCGTGCACCCTGTAGTACTCGGCATAGAGGATCTAGAGCTACTACTAGATGGACCAAAGCGCAGAATTTTCCATTTTCTGGTACACGGCGGTCGCCATGAGCCTAATGGCGTTCGACATGTACCCAATCCACGTCATTAACAAATTAAAGTTAATGGCATTCGCCATTAGCATAATGGCGGTCGCCATTATCATGCAGTTGCAGAATACGTGAAACAGATTTGGAGTTACTCTTGCCCACTTTCCTACTTTATCTCCATGTTCTCTACACATATTGAAAACCGTTTTGGAGCCTAGGACCTCTATATAAGACTTATTTTACCTAGTTTTAAGGGATCCAAGTTTTGTACGTGGAAGCACTGTTTGTAGTTTTAGGCAGAAATCATTGTAAAAGTGGTAGTTTTCTCACATCGAGGAACTACCACACCATTAGGGTTTAGGCCTACAATCTATGTAATGCCCGGATCAATCTTGCCGCTATTTTAAGTTCTTAATTCAATTTATATTTTACCTTTTATTTCAGGTTCTTTTACATTCATTGCATTTGTTTTCCTGCTTTCATTTTCCACAATTTACATTTACACTTTATCTTTCTGCCATTGTTATCATTTCAAGATTTTACCCTTTTCTTCAAGCACTGCTTTAAATTATTTTAAATCACTTATTATGTGTTTAGTTAATTCAAAAATCCAAAATTATTTATTTGTTTCCGCAACCATGTCTGGATAAATTGTTTTGAGTCCGGTATGTGAGGTACGTCGTTCCGACGGGACTCGATAATGAAATTAGGTGTAAAAATTTGTTAAATTCCATTTTACCTTTAGTTTCCAAGTTTAAATCTTAATGTTTTGTCACGAGAGTGAAAAGCATATAAAGGTTCGAGTCGATAGCGCGAGAGTGTGAGAATTAGATCGGATAATGGGAACTGAGCATTGATCCAAAATACAGCGAGAGCGCTTTAGGTATCAATTAAGATCTAATTAGTTTTTAAAATATGCTTCTTGATTAGAATGAGCGAGCAAGAGCAAAATCTCATGGTTATGTAGTGTGGCTTTAGTCAATAGCGCGAGAGTGTGGGATAGATCCTTTAAACTAGTATTTTCTACGGAATGCGATTTAACCATAATTAAC